TCTGTTCTGGAACCCAACTTTGCATTAAGAAACAATTGACAACCCAATGTATGGGAAGCACGTCCTTTGTGTACGAGAATGAATCCTTTTTCCTCCGGGCTCGCCAAAGCTGTTCAAACAAGAGCTCCGTTGTCCCTTTCAGAAGCGGATAATAGGAAACTGAAATGAAATCTGGAGGTCGTTTGGCCTCTTCCACTTGGAGGTAGACATGCCAGCTCCAGACCCTGGGGCTTGTTAACACAAGATGAGTTATCCCCACTCACATTCACCGCAGGAGATGGGGAGGACGCCCAGTGCTCTGGAAAGTCGTGGGACGGAGATTCATCATCTTAGGATTCTGACTCGGATCCCGCCAAACAGGCTTTATCTAAACCAAAATAAAAGTCATGGTGGTCAGAACACCAGCCAGCATGACAGCAACCACTGTTTATTCACTGCTTGGTGTAACATACGGTGAAGACCATGGTGTCCACGTCATACCGAGATGAGTGAGGACCAGAGACAGGGGCTTCTCAAGGTGAGCCTTGCAGTCGGCACTAAAATCTGGACTACTTTAGAAATTATCTTTTTTTTAATGGTTTATTTATTTTTATTTTATGTGCATTTATGTTTTGTCTGCATGTATGTCTGCATGAGGGTGTCAGATCCCCTGGAGTTGGAGTTACAGACAGTTGGGAGCTGCCTTGTGGCTGCAGGGAATTGAACCTGGGTCCTTTGGGAGAGCAGCCAGTGCTGTTAACACTGAACCATTTCTGCAGCCCCCTAGAAATTATCTTATTTTCTTCCTCCTCTTTATCCTTTTTGAAAATTAGTGTACTGGCTGGTTCTGTACATCAACTTGACACAAGCTAGAGTCATCAGAGAGGAAGGAGCGTCAGTTGAGGAAATGCCTCCATGAGTCCCAGCTGTAAGGCCTTTTCTCAATTAGTGAGCAATGGGGGAGGGCCCAGCCCACTGAGGGTGGTGCCATCCCTGGGCTGGTGGTCCTGGGTTCTATAAGAAAGCAGGCTGAGCAAGCCATGGGAAGCAAAGCAGTAAGCAGCTCCCCTCCATGGCCTCTGCATCAGCCCCTGCCTCCAGGATCCTGCCCTGCTTGAGTTCCTGTCCTGACTTCCTTCTGTAATGGACTACAATGTGGAAATGTAAGCCAAATAAACCCCTTCCACCCCAACTTGATTTTTAGTCATGGTGTTTCATCACAGCAATAGAAACCCCAACTAAGACAATTAGCCATTACTATTTTTAGACAGGATCTCATTATGTGGTCTTAGTTGACCTAGAACTCTCTATGTAGACCAGGCTGGCATTGAACTCACAAAGTTTATCTGTTTGTCTCTGCTTTTCAGAGTGCTGGGATTAAAAATGTGTGCCGCTTTGCCTGGCTAGTACATCTTTTTTCTCTCCCTCCCTCCCTCCCTCCCTCCCTTCCTTCCCTCTTTTTTGAGACAGGGTCTCTCACTGAGCTCATCAATTTACTAGACTGGCTGGCCAGTGAGTCCCAGGAATGCTCCAGTCTCTACTTCCCCTGTGACATTTAGGCAGTTTTGGGGCTTGAACTCAGGTCACAAGGGTGACAAGCACCTCCTGGGCTGAGCTATGTCCCCAGACATCCAGGTATTTGTCATAGCAACAGAAAGTTACTATTCTTTTATACTTTTACAAGTCATAGTCTGAGAGTTTCCAACACATTGGGTGAAAAATCCACTGAGGTTTACAGAATCTCAGCGCTGCCCCTTAATTACCGTCTTTATTAATACCAACCAACTTTTTTGTTTTCTAGCAGGTGGGAACACTGAGACCCAGTAGTCTTGGCTGGCACAGGCCTACCCCGGTGTCCCTCACCCTGGGGTGTCCTCCCACCCAGTCCTCTCCCTGAAGATAGGCGGCAAGGGAATGACTACTGAGCAAAAACTACATTCCAAAGGTCTCAGTGTCTTTTCTGGAGAGCCGGCTGGCGAGACTGGAGCAGTCAGGACTATTACTCAGTCAGATAGGCCGTGGCGCCTTGGCTCGGGTCCCTGCTGAGCCTGGATTCTGCTCCTGGATTCAATTTTTTTTTTTTTTTTTTTTTTTTTTTTTTTTTTTTTTGAGACAGGGTTTCTCTGCGTAGTTTTGGTGCCTGTCCTGATCTTGCTCTGTAGACCAGGCTGGGCTCGAACTCACAGACATCTGCCTGGCTCTGCCTCCAGGGTGAGAGCTGATTTAAAGGTGTGTGCCTCCACCGCCCTCCCAGCTCCTGGATTCAATTCTATGGCTACTGCCTTAGGCTATGCTACTGTGAGGATGACCAGGATAGACAGCTACTGCAGCCTCCGTTCCTGCACCACACAACTTCCTCTGCTTCCATTTTCTTCAATCCCACTCCTAACCTGCTCTTAATTCCCCTATGCGTGTGTGCCTGTGCATGTGCGTGCTCACACACACGCACAGAAAATGCTGTCAGTCCAAAGGGAGGATATTTGTGCATGGGAGATGGTCCCCATGGTAGCCAAAACATTCAGATCTCTTGTTGCCTTTGGGGAGACCCTCAGCTCTGGACTCCCCTAGCACTGACCAGACCCAGGGGGAAAAGGAATCTCAGGGAAGGACCTTTCCTGGGACACTTGTAGCCAGGACCAGCTTCTTTGCAGCAGAAGGACCTCAGAGTCAGAAGAGGGACTCACATGTGCCTGGTATACTTTGACAAGCTGGGGATCACAGAAGGGATAAACCACGCCCCTGCCTAGACCCTATAGGTTTGCTGAAGGACTGGGTGGGTCCTGCAAAGGCCTGAGCCTCAGGCTCCTTTTCACATGTGCCCAACAGGTAACATTCCCTTCCTCCTGTGATGTTAGAGACCACTGGCTCCTAAAACCAGGCTGGCCTCCCTACCCTGGCCCTGCTGACACTCAGTGGTTGCTGGGCATGTGTCTTCATTGGCATGGAACATTCCAGGCTCCCATGTGGTCTGTTGTGGTCTCAGAAAAAAAAACAAACAAAAAAACAAAACAAAAAAAAAAAAACCCTGCACAAAGTAACAGCATCTTAGCCCGTCATCTAGCAAAGACCCAAAGACCCATGCAGATTTTTAAAATTTAATTTTAATATTGTATTTTTAATTCTGTGTATGTGTGTGTGTGTGTGTGTGGGTTTGTGTACCTGAGTGGGTGTAGCTGTTGAGGCCTGAGGCCAGAGCCCCCTGAAATTGTAAGCAGTTGTGAGCTGCCTGATGTGGGTGCTGGGAATCGAATTTGGGTCCTCTGCAAGGAGAGTGCATGCTCTTAACCGTGGATCCTTTCCCCAAACCCCACTACAGATTTTATTTTTATTAAATATCACCACACAGAGTTTGTAACTCCAGACTTCAGACCAGGGACATAGGTCTGAGGTATTCTTTTTTGAGGGGAGGAGGGAGAGACAGGATTTCTCTATGCAGCCCTGGCTATCCTGGAATTCACTGTAGACCAGGCTGGCCTTGAACTCAGAGAGATCCACCTGCCTCTGCCTCCTGAGTGCTGGGATTAAAAATGCATAACACAATGCCCAGTATAATGTGGTTTCTTTAAAAAAAATTATTACATATTTTAAGATTCTTGTGGGAGTGGGCACAGAATATGTGGAGGTCAGAAGACAACCTTTGAGAGTCTGTTCCCCCGGTCCACCATATGGGTCCCAGGAATCAAACTCGGGTCATTAGGCTTGGCAGCAAGAGCCGCTATCCACTGAGCCATCCCAGGAGCCCCCACAGTGTGTGATATCTGCATTTGTGCATTTAAAATCCTGCAGCAGAGCTTGCACAGGAAGAGCAATCTTGCTTTAGGGCGGTGGCAGGGCTGTGAGGACAGTCCGGGGCTCTCTCTGGGTCTTGTGTTATTAAGCATATTTTCAAAGACAGAGGAAGTGCAGGTTGACAGCTGTTGAAATCCACTATTTTCCATACAAACGAATTTCACTCTTCTGAGAAATCATTTTATCTTCCAAAATCCCCCGCTCAGCGTCACTGCTTGCTCACTTGGGGAGCATTCACTTCCCCCAGAATAAACCCAGCAGCCAGCGTGGAAAAGCCCGCTTTTACATCTGGGGAAGATGCGCTGTTCCAGGAGACCCTTTGCAGCTTTAAAACTCAGAGCTCACCAAATACTCTGACTGCCCACCCCCCCACCCCGGCAAAGTGGGGACGAGGCATTGAATTACCAGCCTGTCACTGACACCACGGCTCTCTCATTCCTTTGAACAGGAGCTGGGCTTAAGAAGAAAGTTTTTCTTAATAAGTAGCTGCTCCCCCTTTGATATGCACATCTGGATACGAGGTCTTATCTGCAGTCAGCTAAGGCTGCTTCCTGAGGGTAAATGATAAAAGAACAACTCAAAATAACAAAAAAGGAATAAAATGTGCCAGATGCCTCAGAAAGCAGGACAATGCGAAAGAAAGCAGCTATTGACAATCGAAGCAATCATTTTGGAGGCTCACTGACTCACGGGTTTTTTTTTTTAAGGGATTAGGAAGGATCGGCTGACAGGCGCTGCTGCCGTATTCTGTTGGAAATTAAGGGGGGAATAACGCCGAGCATGCTATCAATCACTTGGGGGTTAATTTTGCTTCTGTCCTGGTCTGGTTCTGAAGCTTAAAAAAAAAAAAAAAACTTCCCTTTTTCTCTGTCGCCCTCTGTTTAAGCACAGTTAACTCTGAGGCCCCGACTCAAAGATTCTGATTCACAAATTCTCTCAGGAATGACAAAGGGTTTCACACAGACCGAAGGCACCAGGAAACGTGACCCTCGGGTAGAGCCAGCTTCCCACCTTCTGTCCCTTGAGTTTTAAAGCATACGTTGTTCTTTATTCTGGTTCCTTCCGTATCAGATGTGTTTTTTTTCTCTCGATTTCTTTCTCACTTTTGTTTGAAAATATTGTCATGGAAACGTTATGATTCTTCTCAGTTTGGGGACTTTTCCAGGGAGCTTCTGTCCCCTCCTTAATGTGGACTGGTGTGATGTTTTCCGGGTTAGCGTGGAAGGGCAGAATTGGCTTAGGTGATGCCCAAATATGATCTCTCCAGGCTCGCTCGCCTTTGTTCTTTACAAAGGAAGCAAGACCAGCTTGCTTGGTAAACACGTGCTGGGGACTTGAGTAATTCTGTGGCCGATTGTAACTGATATGTTAATAGGCCAGCGAAACTTGGGCTTTACATACATTGCTCCTTAAAGTGGAGACTGCGGATGGTGTGGGGGAGGGAGCGGCAGGGCAGGCTGGGTCCCCTGCACTTTCCTCAGCCTACCCGGCACTGATTCCACATTAACATGCAGCAGGCATGGGAAAATGATAAACTCCTACACCACTGTCATGGCAACTGAAAAAATGGCCGCTTTAGAGGGGTGCGGGGAACGAGGGCCACAGGCAAAGAAAAGCCAAGGCCTGTCTCTTTTTTTCCTGGCTGACATCTGTCGTTTAACATACAAAATTGTATTATCGCGATGATGAAGGCGCGCTGCCCGGCTGGAGCCTCGCCCAGGAATGAAGGGAGTCGGGCTCTGAAGGAGGAGTGAATAAGCCCTCCGACATTTCCACCTAGACGTCCCCCCACCTCTTAGCACTCCAGGTAGGAAAGCTTGGCCCTCCTGGGGAAGGTGGGTGGAGGGAGGAGGGAGGGGGAGAGGCCTGTAAGCACACATCAGTTCTCGTCAATTATCTTCATTTCTCTCCCTCCCCTTCTTTTAAACGTATTTTGGATTTTTCTGAAGTACCAGTGGAGAGGGCTTGTGATCACGGACACAGCAGATGTCGAGCTACGGTTTGCAAACATGGCGGGGGGGGGGCAAGGTTTAAAACGGTTATTGCTGGCCACTGAAAAGGGCGGGAAGGGCTTGCCCCTCCCCCACGGGTCCCAGGACCTTGCTCACATGAGGGATTCCAGCCCAAGAAGTGCTTTTACTTCCTTCCTTCTGTGGCTCCTTCCCGAATTTTTGTAAAGCGATCTATCGCTCACATAGCAATGAAGTGTTTTGGACCGTAGACACTGATATTTATGACTCCCAACGCTGACACGAAACTTCCATATTGCCCAAAACGTGGTACCTGGGGGGCATTTTTTCTTGCATATATGTATATATATTTATATTTATATGATTTTTTTTCTTAACATTAAGTGACTTGGGCTGGCCATATGGCTCAGTGGGTAAAGGTGCTTGCTGCCAAGGCTGATGACCTGAGTTCAATTCCAGGAACCCACTCACAGTGGACGAAGAGAACCAACTTCAAAAAGTCGTCCTCCGACCTCCACGTGTGCTTGCACACACAGTCTCTAGATATGCATGCTTTTTTTTTTAAATGGAATTTTAAATGCAGCAACCTTCAATCACACTTCATGGCTCACACGAGTAACGAGCTCACAGCAGGGGCTCCACACCAGCTGTGGAAGATTGCTACCATCCCCACACCGCCAAACGGAGGCTTTCCAGGAAGGCTGAGATTAAACCCCTCGATAGGGAAGGATCAGATAAGTCCAAACAAAGACCATTTATATAGCTGCCTTCAGTCATCAGCAAAGTTAGCATTTTAAGGTGGGGAAGCAGAAAAACAAGACCAAACCCAGCTTAGAACCACCAGTTACCACCAGTTACCAATCTCAAGTTCTGTAATAATGGGGTCCTGACCAGCACAGGCCTGGGAGGGAACAGAAGCCTAAGGAATGAGAAAGGTCCCAATGGAATTGTTTGTTTTTCCAAACTGTAAAGTCACAAGAAGCCACCAGGGTAAAGCCACAGATAATGTATACTGGGGCTGCAGGGTGTCTCCGATAAGTTGGAGACTTGGCGGAGAGATTTACCTGGGGTGAGGGAAGGAGACCTAGGACATTAGAGACTCAGACCTAGCCAGGAGGGACTGCTGGTTTCCTGGTGTGAAACTGGCCTGGCTCCTGGCCCTTAGATGGCTAAGCAGGGAACGGTGTTGGCCAGTCCGTGACATCTGGGCTAGCCTAGGGGGTGGGGGAATATTTTTTTGCTCCGGGTTTTTTGTTTTCAGCTTCTTGGTTTCATCAGCATAGCTTTTGTCAGAGGGGCCTAGAGTTTGACATTTGCAATTCTAGATTTTTTTCATTCTGCCAGGCTTCTGGAAAGGCAGCCCGCTGGCCTTTTTTTTTTTTTTTTTTTTTAACATATTCATATTTCTTGCATGTCAACTGAGGCAAATACAACCTCCCTGGACTTTCCAGGGAGTGGGGTGAGGGGCTCCTGTGAGATCTGAAAGGCACATCTTTGTGAGTGGGGGGCCAAGTTCTCCCAGGAACCTTTCCTATTCAAATCTCCTCCTGCTTCCTCTCCCCCAGTCTCCACTGGTTTCTGGGGACCTGAACATGCTCCCCAACACAATCCCCCAATCAAGTGGATCCTATTTTATACAGTAGTGTGTGAGAGTCACCCAGGGAGATCACAAAACTTGGCTTGGCTTCGTATTTTCCCGCTCAAGCTCCAAAAATCCAGAAACCAGGAAAGTTCCTCAACAGAAAAAAAGGAGCACATGGAAGTCCGTGTGGTTCTGAAATCACCAGAATCGCTGATAACATTTAAGGCAGCTTCAGAGTCGACCCCCAGCCGGGTCATATCGCTGTGAGGGTCGCCTCCTCAGAGCCTCCGTTGGCAGCAGATTTACCTGAGCTCAGCCTCGGCCTCTCACCTGACTCCAGCTCTCTCTGAGGGTAAGGCCAAGACCAAAAGGCTGAGTGTAGGAATTGAACTGAAAATTCGGTGGGTAAAGACGCTTGCTGTCAAGCTTGGACCTGAGCTGGGATGGTGGGAGGAGAGAGCCACGTCCTGCCGATTGTCCGCTCAGGAAACTGGTGACAGTTAGGAGCTGAACCGTGTCTGCTCCAAATCCACAATGTGACTGTTACCGTAGTTGGAGGCAGAAGCTTTGAGGAGAAAAGTAAGGTTAAACCGATTACTTTTCAGGGCTGGGGAGCTGGCTCCAAGGAATCGAATTTGGGTCCCATCACCCCTGTTGGGCAGTTTACATCGCCCTCTTCTGGTATCACGTGCACATGTGTGGTGTACATACAGATGCACATAAAAAATAAATATAAAATTTAAAAATTAGTTGCTTTTCTCACCACTGTCATGAAAATAACTGACAGAATCGATAGACAGAGGGGTGGAGGATTCATTTTGGTCCAGGGTTTCGGAGGGCCTCAGGTCCCCGTGGTGCACGCATTCAAACAAATACATAAATACACCACCAAGTGGGACAGCCCCCGAAGAACGATACCAAGGTTGTCTTCGGACGCTCTCTGTCCTCCCACACACACATGTGCTGGGCTATAAGACTCTTCTCTAAATAAATAATAAAACCGGTCCCAGCATCCTTGTCCAGTGCTCAAGGTCACAGGATGGCTGCGCAGCCAGGCACGTACTCACAAAGCAGGCACTCTGTGGTCACTTTGGGAAAGAGCACTGTCAGCTCCTCAGGCCCACAAGCCGTGGAGAAGCAGGGTGGAAGCCAGACATCTCTGCCTTCATTTGGCATCCTAACCCAGCAGTTCCCTCAGACTCCCGGAAGAGCAAAATCTAGGACAGTTCGCCCCCTAAATGAGAATAATTACCCTATAGGGTGAGGCTACACCCTGGAGCAGAAGCCTGATCTATCCCCTCAAGGGCATGATGGGGAAGGACTGCTGGGGACCACCTCACAGGACCAGTGCTGAGACAGCGATCAGTCACCAGTCACCCCAGGAAAGCTTCACTGCGTATACTCACCCCTTCCTCCCACTTCCGATTTAAGCCTTAAGGTCATTTAGCAGCCCTGAGGATGGACTTGGGGGCCCCTGAATCCCTTAAGTCTTAATGTGATCACACTGAATAAATCTCTCTCTGCCTTTCACGAAGACCTATTTCTTCCATTGGTGTATCGGGGTACAGGTGACCCACCCTAGGCCTGTTGGGGCTGCCAGAGCCCAGGCTTGTACCCTAAAGATGCTCCTAGCACCCCACAATAATGTCCAAAACAGTAGAAGGAAATCTGTCTTGAACATCTGTCTTCTCCGTGGGGGGAGAAAAAAGCCTTCAGAAAGTGTCTTTTTTTTTTTTTTTAAGATGTATTTATTTTATATGTATGAATGTTTTGTTTGCATGCATGTATGTGTACCACATGTATTCTTAATATTCTTGGAGTTTAAAAGAAGACATGAGGTTTTTTGGAACTGAAGTTATTAATGGTTATGAGACACCATGTGGGTGCTGGAATTTGAACCTGTGTCCTCTGCTAGAGCAAAGAGTGCTCTAAACCTCCAGGTCACCTCCCCAGCCCTGAAGTCTCTTAGTAGGCTCCCCTTCCGTGTTTGTGGTCACAACTGGGTTGCACACTTGCTTCCAGAACAATCTCTGGCAAGGAGTTCTAGGATCTGCAGGTGGCGATGGGCTCTTACCGATGTTTCCAAATTTGATTAGAGGCTGAAAACAGGAGTGGCAGTTGTAGGAGGACAAGGGCAGTAGCCACAGGGTGCTTTCAGGCACCCTTCCCAGGGGAAGCTGAGTGATTTCCGGTCACTTCCAAGTCCCCGGACCTGCTGCTGCACAGCTCACCGGCTCACATTCCATGCCTGAAATGACCAGGCTGATGCATGAGGTGCTCCGCTGGAAGGTGGGGGTCTCCCAGTGCGGCAGCATCCCTGGCCCAGAGGCACCCCGCTGCAGGCCCACTGGGACACTGGAGCCAATGGAGATGAAAACAGATAAATTCGAAGAGGCTTCAGTCTCTATACGAACTGCTTCCCAGAAGGTGGACACTGTTACAGCAGCTTCTTCTGGGACAGAATCCTTCCTCAGCCCTTCTCCTCTGCTTAAAAGTAGCTGGGCAGTGACTGGTCCTGGGGAGATGGCCCAGGGGATAAAGATGTCGGCTGCCATGTCTGACCATGCCTGTACACCTGAGTTGGTTCACTGGGATCCGTATGGTGGATGGAGAGAACCGACTCCCGAAAGTTTTGCTGTGTCTTCCACATGCGCTCTGTGGCATTTATGCGCTCATATACAAAACAAATAATTTTTTTTTTTAAAGTAGGAGGCTGGAGAGATGACTCTGGTTAAGAGCACTAACTGTTCTTCCAGGGGACAGGGGTTCAAGACCCAGGTTCAATTCCCAGCACCCACATGGCAGCTCACAACTGTCTGTAACTCTAGTTCCAGAGGATCTGACACCCTCACACAGACATACATGTAGGCAAAACACCAATGCACACACACACACACAAAAAAAATTTAAAAAGTAGCTAATGATTAATGAGCAATGAGTTCAGAGCCATCTTCCTGTTTTCCTTAAAGATTAATGTGTGTGTGTGTGTGTGTGTGTGTGTGTGTGTGTGTGTGTACGTACTTGCACTACCTGTGTGCAGGCACCCACAGAGGGAGATGGGGGGGTGGATCCCCTTGAGTTGGAGTTATAGTTGGTTGGTCACCACTGCGTGGGTGCTGAGAACCAAACCCCAGGAAGAGCAGGAAGTACTCTTCATCACCTAGTCATGTCTGCAGACCCCTCCTCCTCCTCCTCCTCCTCCTCCTCCTCCTCCTCCTCCTCCTCTTCTTCTTAAAAGAGAATGAAGAGAAATGA